GCCAGTATAAACCAGTCTGGGCCAGTACAAACCAGTACAAACCAGTCTGGGCCAGTACAAACCAGTCTGGACCAGTCTGGGCCAGTATAAACCAGTACAAACCAGTCTGGGCCAGTATAAACCAGTCTGGACCAGTATGGGCCAGTATAAACCAGTACAAACCAGTCTGGGCCAGTACAAACCAGTACAAACCAGTCTGGGCCAGTACAAACCAGTCAGGGCCAGTCTGGGCCAGTACAAACCAGTCAGGGCCAGTCTGGGCCAGTACAAACCAGTACAAACCAGTACAAACCAGTACAAACCAGTCTGGGCCTGTCTGGGGCCTGCCCCAGCCCCGATTGTCCCCGCAGGGACCCCAAAGTGTCACCTCAGGGTGCCCTGCCCAGAGACACCGACGGTGCCACCGGTGTCACCACCCCAGGGCCACCACCCCAGGGACACCGGGGCCACCCCAGTGTCACCAGTGCCACAACCCCAGGGCCATCCCAGTGCCACCATCCCAGAGCCACCGATGGTGCCACCGGTGCCACCACCCCAGGGACACCACCCCAGGGCCATCAATGGTGCCACCGGGGCCACCACCCCAGGGCCACCACCCCAGGGCCACCACCCCAGTGTCACCACCCCAGGGCCATCAATGGTGCCATCAGTGTCACCCCAGTGCCACCACCCCAGTGTCACCACCCCAGTGCCACCCAAAGCCACCCCAGTGCCACCACCCCAGGGCCACCACCCCAGTGCCACCACCCCAGGGCCACCACCCCAGGGCCACCAGGGCCACCACCCCAGTGTCACCACCTCAGTGCCACCGATGGTGCCACCAGTGCCACCACCCCAGTGCCACCAGTGCCACCAGTGCCACCCCAGTGTCACCCCAGTGCCACCACCCCACTGCCACCACCCCAGTGCCACTCCAGTGTCACCAGTGCCACCAGGGCCATCCCAGTGCCACCGGTGCCACCCCAGTGCCACCCCAGTGTCACCTCAAGCTGCTGGGACAGAGCCCTGCCCAGAGCCACCAACGGTGCCACTGTCAGTGTCACCAGCACTGTCACCACAGTGCCACCATCAGTGCCACCACCTCCACCACCAGTGCCACCCCAGTGCCACCACCCCGGTGCCACCCAAAGCCACCCCAGTGCCACCAGCTGGGTGCCACCCTGCCTTTAATGGTGTCCCCACAGCGCCCCCGTCCCAGTGTCCCTCTGCTGTCCCCTCAGTGCTGTCCCCAATGTCCCCTGCCCCACTCCTGCAGTGTCCCCAGCAGTGTCCCCAGTGTCCCCTCAGTGCTGTCCCCAGCAGTGTCCCCAGCAGTGTCCCCAGCAGTGTCCCCTCAGTGCTGTCCCCAGTGTCCCCTGCCCCGTTCCCGCAGTGTCCCCACGCTGGGGCCACCCTGACCCAGGGCACGGCCCCCGGTGCCACCAGCGCCGCTGCCACCGCCCCGGGGACACCGACAGTGCCACCAGCAGTGCCACCAGCAGCAGGGTGACAGCAGCAGCAGTGCCACCAGCAGGATGACAGCAGTGCCACCAGCAGCAGGGTGACAGCAGCAGCAGTGCCACCACCAGCAGTGTCACCGTCAGCGTCACACCAGTGCCACCACCGCCATCAGCCCTGTGCCACCACCAATGCCACCATCAGTGTCACCCCAGTGCCAGCATCCCAGTGCCACCAATGGTGCCACCAGTGCCACCACCCCGGTGCCACCACCCCGGTGCCACCCAAAGCCACCCCAGTGCCACCACCTGGGTGCCACCCTGCCTTTAATGGTGTCCCCACAATGCCACCACCCCAGTGTCACCACCAGCAGTGCCATCCCAGTGTCACCCCAGTGCCACCCAAAGCCACCCCAGTGCCACCAGCTGGGTGCCACCCTGCCTTTAATGGTGTCCCCGCAGTGCCACCACCCCAGTGCCACCCTGATGTCCTTCATGGGTGTCCCCAGAGTGCCAGCACCCCAGTGCCACCAGCCCAGTGCCACCCAAAGCCACCACAGTGCCACCACCCCGGTGCCTCCCTGGTGTCCCTCATAGGTGTCCCCACAGTGTCACCACCCAGGGTCACCCCAGTGCCACCACCAATGTCCCACCGGTGCCACCATTACTGTCACCCTGTGCCACCAGTGCCACCCCAGTGCCACCAGCCCAGTGCCACCCAAAGCCACCCCAGTGCCACCAGCTGGGTGCCACCCTACCTTTAATGGTGTCCCCCCAGTGCCACCACCCTGGTGCCACCCTGATGTCCTTCATGGGTGTCCCCAGTGTCACCACTCCAGTGCCACCCAAAGCCACCACAGTGCCACCAGCTGGGTGCCACCCTGCCTTTAATGGTGTCCCCAGCAGTGCCACCGCCCCAGTTCCCCCCTGGTGTCCCCTCAGTGCTGTCCCCAGTGTCCCCTCAGTGCTGTCCCCAGTGTCACCTGCCCCGGTGCCCCTCTGTTGTCCCCTCAGTGCTGTCCCCAGTGTCCCCTGCCCTGGTGTCCCCTCTGTTGTCCCCTCAGTGCTGTCCCCAGTGTCCCCTGCCCCGTTCCCGCAGTGTCCCCACGCTGGGGCCACCCTGACCCAGGGCACGGCCCCCGGTGCCACCAGCGCCGCTGCCACCGCCCCGGGGACACCGACAGTGCCACCAGCAGCAGGGTGACAGCAGCAGTGCCACCAGCAGGGTGACAGCAGTGCCACCAGCAGCAGGGTGACAGCAGCAGGGTGACAGCAGCAGCAGTGTGACAGCAGCAGGGTGACAGCAGCAGTGCCACCAGCAGGGTGACAGCAGTGCCACCAGCAGCAGTGTCACCGTCAGCGTCACACCAGTGCCACCACCGCCATCAGCCCAGTGCCACCACCAATGCCACCATCAGTGTCACCCCAGTGCCAGCATCCCAGTGCCACCCCAGTGCCACCACCCCAGTGCCACCCAAAGCCAGCACAGTGTCTGTCACCAACTCACTGTCACCACAGTGCCACCACCCCAGTGCCACCCCGGTGCCACCCAAAGCCACCCCAGTGCCACCAGCAGTGCCACCCTGCCTTTAACGGTGTCCCCACAGTGCCAGCATCCAGTGTCACTCCAGTGCCACCCCAATGCCACCATCAGTGTCACCCCAGTGCCAGCATCCCAGTGCCACCAATGGTGCCACCACCCCAGTGTCACCCAAAGCCACCCCAGTGCCACCAGCTGGGTGCCACCCTGCCTTTAATGGTGTCCCCACAGTGCCACCACCCCAGTGCCACCACCAGCAGTGCCATCCCAGTGTCACCCCAGTGCCACCACCAATGTCCCACCAGCAGTGCCACCACCACTGTCACCCCAGTGCCACCAGCTGGGTGCCACCCTGCCTTTAACGGTGTCCCCGCAGTGCCACCACCCCGGTGCCACCCTGATGTCCTTCACGGGTGTCCCCAGAGTGCCACCAGCCCAGTGCCACCACCCCAGTGCCACCCAAAGCCACCCCGGTGCCCCCCTGGTGTCCCTCACTGGTGTCCCTGAAGTGCCACCACTCCAGTGTGACCCCAGTGCCACCACGTCCACCACCACTGCCACCATCACTGTCACGCCTGTGCCACCACCCCAGTGCCACCCTGCTGTCACCCAAAGCCACCCCAGTGTCACCACGCGAGTGCCACCCAAAGCCACCACAGTGTCTGTCACCACCTCACTGTCACCCCAGTGCCACCACCCCAGTGCCACCACCCAGTGTCACCACCAGCAGTGCCATCCCAGTGTGACCCCAGGGTCACCACCAATGTCCCACCAGTGCCACCATCACTGTCACCCCCGTGCCACCATCACTGTCATCTCAGTGCCACCCTGATGTCCTTCACGGGTGTCCCCCACAGTGCCATCACCTGGGTGCCACCCCAGTGCCACCACCCCAGTGCCACCATCAATGTCCCACCAGTGCCGCCATCACTGTCACCCCTGTGCCACCACTGTCATCTCAGTGCCACCACCCCAGTGCCACCAGCTCGGTGCCACCCCAGTGCCACCACCCCAGTGCCACCCAAAGCCACCACAGTGCCACCAGGTGAATGCCACCCTGCTTTAATGGTGTCCCCGCCCCGGTGCCCCTCGGGTGTCCCCTCAGTGCTGTCCCCAGTGTCCCCTGCCCCGCTCCCGCAGTGTCCCCATCCTGGGGCCACCCTGATGTCCTTCATGGGTGTCCCCACAGTGCCACCACCCCAGTGTCACCCCAATGCTACCACCACTGTCACCCCTGTGCCACCACTGTCACCCCTGTGCCACCACTGTCATCTCAGTGCCACCACCCTGGTGCCACCCTGATGTCCTTCACAGGTGTCCCCAGAGTGCCACCACCACAGTGCCACCAGCTGCGTGCCACCCTGCTTTTAATGGTGTCCCCACAGTGTCCCCACCCTGTTTCCCCCCTGGTGTCCCCTCAGTGGTGTCCCCAGTGTCCCCTGCCCTGCTCCCAGTGTCCCCAGCAGTGTCCCCTCAGTGCTGTCCCCAGTGTCCCCTGCCCCGCTCCCGCAGTGTCCCCAGCAGTGCCACCACCCCTGTGTCCCTCTGGTGTCCCCTCAGTGCTGTCCCCAGCAGTGTCCCCTGCCCCGCTCCCGCAGTGTCCCCAGTGTCCCCTCAGTGCTGTCCCCAGTGTCCCCTCAGTGCTGTCCCCAGCAGTGTCCCCTGCCCCGCTCCCGCAGTGTCCCCAGCAGTGTCCCTGCAGTGTCCCCTCAGTGGTGTCCCCAGCAGTGTCCCCTCAGTGGTGTCCCCAGTGTCCCCTGCCCCGCTCCCGCAGTGTCCCCAGCAGTGCCACCACCCCGGTGTCCCAGCAGTGTCCCCTCAGTGGTGTCCCCAGCAGTGTCCCCTGCCCCGCTCCCGCAGTGTCCCCAGCAGTGCCCCCAGTGTCCCCAGCAGTGTCCCCAGTGTCCCCTCAGTGCTGTCCCCAATGTCCCCTGCCCCGCTCCCGCAGTGTCCCCAGCAGTGTCCCCAGTGTCCCCTCAGTGCTGTCCCCAGCAGTGTCCCCTGCCCCGCTCCCTCAGTGTCCCCAGCAGTGCCACGCTGGCGGCCGCCCTGACCCAGGGCACGGCCCCCGGTGCCACCGCGTCCCCGAGCGCCACCAGCGCCGCCGCCACCGCCCCGGGGATGCTCCCGGTGAGCAGCGCCAGCGCCAGCAGCGAGGCCGCCGTCAGCGCGGTGACAAAGTGACCCGCGGGGACAAAGTGGCCCTGGGTGAGGAAGCGCGGCCACCCCGCGGCCAGCGCGGCCACCGCGGTGCCCGAGGCCAGCAGGAGCCCGGCGGTGGCGCCGTCGCCGCTCAGGCGGTGGCACCCGAAGGCCACCAAGGGCTGGGACAGCACCGAGCAGATCCAGGAGCCCGGCGGGGACAATGGCGGCGGTGGCACCTCGGGGACAGCGCGGGGGGGACACGGAGGGGACAGCGCGGAGCTGGCGGCCACCAGGGCCTGCAGCAGGAAACCGGCGGCCGGGCCAGGGGTCACCTGCGGGGACAGCGGGGACAGAGGGGACATCAGCGGGGACAGCATGGGGGACAGAGGGGACATCAGGGGACAGCATGGGGGACAGAGGGGACATCAGGGGGGACAGCATGGGGACAGCATGGGGACAGCAGGGGACAGCAGGGGACATCAGGGGACAGCATGGGGGTGTCATGGGGACATCACAGGGGGGACATGGGGAGAGCAGGGGACAGCATGGGGACAGCATGGGGGACAGCAGGGGGACATCACAGGGGGGACAGCATGGGGACAGCATGGGGGACAGCAGGGACATCAGCGGGGACAGCATAGGGGACAGCATGGGGACAGCAGGAGGGACAGCATGGGGACAGCAGGGGGACAGTATGGGGACATGGGGACAGAGGGGACAGCATGGGGACAGCGGGGACATCAGGGGACAGAGGGGACAGCATGGGGGACAGCATGGGGGACAGCATGGGGACAGCATGGGGACAGCATGGGGACAGCAGGGGACAGCATGGGGGACAGCATGGGGACAGAGGGGACATCAGGGGACAGCATGGGGGACAGCATGGGGACAGCATGGGGACAGCAGGGGACAACATGGGGACAGCATGGGGACATCATGGGGACATCAGGGGACAGCATGGGGACATCACAGGGGGGACAGCAGGGACATCAGCGGGGACAGCAGGGGACAGCATGGGGACAGAGGGGACATCAGGGGACATCAGGGGACAGCTGGGGACAGCACAGGGGGGACAGCATGGGGACAGCAGGGGGACAGCTGGGGACAGAGGGGACAGCAGGGGACAGCAGGGGACATCAGGGGACAGAGGAGACAGCAGGGGGACAGCAGGGGGACAGCAGGGACAGAGGGGACATCAGGGGACAGCTGGGGGACAGAGGGGACATCAGGGGACAGCTGGGGGACATCAGGGACAGCGGGGACATCAGCGGGGACAGCGGGGGGACAGAGGGGACATCAGGGGACAGCATGGGGGACAGCAGGGACATCATGGGGACAGCAGGGGACAGCATGGGGGACAGCAGGGACATCATGGGGACAGCAGGGGACAGCAGGGACCCCAGCGGGGACAGCATGGGGGTGTCATGGGGACATCACAGGGGGGACATGGGGACAGCAGGGACATGGGGACAGCAGGGACATGGGGACAGCAGGGGACATCACAGGGGGGACAGCATGGGGACATCAGAGGGACGTGGGGGTGCCATGGGGACAGCAGGGGCAGCAGGGGACATCATGGGACATCAGGGGACAGGAGGGGACATCATGGGGACATCACAGAGACATGCTGGGGACATGGTGGGGACATTGTGGGGACATCAGGAGGACATGGTGGGGACATCACGGGGGGACACGGGGACATCACGGGGGGACACAGGGATGTCATGGGGACAGCAGGGGACAGCACAGGGGGGACACGGTGGGGACGTCACAGGGACATCCCAGGGTGCCACCCCAATGCTACCACCACTGTCCCACCAGTGCCACCACCACTGTCACCCCAGTGCCACCCCAGTGTCACCCCAGTGCCACCCCAGTGTCACCATCAGCACCAGCAGCAGTGCCACCACCACCACCACTGTCATCGCAGGGCATGGGGGGGACATGGGGACAGCAGGGGACAGCACAGGGGGGACACGGTGGGGACATCACAGGGACATGGTGGGGACATCAGGGGGACATCACACGGGGGACATGGTGGGGACATTGTGGGGATGTCATGGGGACATAGAGGGGACATCGTTGGGACATGGTGGGGACATCATGGGGACATCAGGGGACATGGAAGGGACATTGTGGGGACATCAAAGGGACATTATGGGGACAGGGGTGGTGGCCGGGGCGCCTGTCACCTGTAGGGACATCAGGGGGACAGCGTGGGGACATCGTGGGGATGTCATGGGGACATTGAGGGGACACTGAGGGGACATGGTGGGGACATTGTGGGGATGTCATAGGGACATAGAGGGGACATAGAGGGGACATTGAGGGGACATGGTGGGGACAGGGGTGGTGGCCAGGCCTGTCACCTGTGGGGACATCACAGGGGGGACATTGTGGGGACATGGTGGGGATGTCATGGGGACATTGAGGGGACATCAGGGGGACATTGTGGGCACAGGGGTGGGGACAGCTGGGGGACATCTGGGGGACATGGTGAGGGCATTATGGGGACATTGTGGGGACTTCAGGGACATCGAGAGGACATCATGGAGATGTCATGGGGACATCATGGGGACATTATGGGGATGAGGTGGTGGCCAGGCCTGTGTCACCTCTGGGGACATCATGGGGACATTGTGGGGCCAGGGATGGGGACATTGTGGGGACATCATGGAGATGTCATGGGGACATTGTGGGGACATGGCAGGGACATTGTGGGGACATTGTGGGACATGGCGGGGACAGGGGTGGTGGCCAGGACAGCGGTCACCTCTGGGGACATCAATGGGGACATTGTGGGGACATCACAGGGACATTGAGGGGACATCATGGGGACATTGTAGGGACATCGTTGGGACATGGTGGGGACATTGTGGGGGACATCATGGGGATAGGGTGGTGGCCGGGCCTGTCACCTCTGGGGACATCATGGGGACATTGAGGGGACATTGTGGGGACATTGAGGGACATGGTGGGGACATGGTGGGGACATTGTGGGGCCAGGGGTCAGGGCATGGCACAGGTGGCACAGGTGACACAGGTGACACTGTCCCCAAGGTGTCCCCAGGGTGTCCCCAAGGTGTCCCCGAGGTGTCCCCAGGGTGTCCCCGAGGTGTCCCCAAGGTGTCCCCAGGGTGTCCCCAGTGTCCCCAGGGTGTCCCCAGGGTGTCCCCAGTGTCCCCAGGGTGTCCCCAGGGTGTCCCCAGGGTGTCCCCAAGGTGTCCCCGCAGTGTCCCCAGGGTGTCCCCAGGGTGTCCCCAAGGTGTCCCCAGGGTGTCCCCAAAGTGTCCTCAGGGTGTCCCCAAGGTGTCGCCAAGGTGTCCCTGGTATCCCCAAGGTGTCCCCAGGGTGTCCCCAGGGTGTCCCCGCAGTGTCCCCAAGGTGTCCCCAGGGTATCCCCAAGGTGTCCCCGAGGTGTCCCCAAGGTGTCCCCAGTGTGTCCCCAGGGTATCCCCAAGGTGTCCCCGGTGTCCCCAGGGTGTCCCCAGGGTGTCCCCAAGGTGTCCCCAGGGTGTCCCCGCAGTGTCCCCAAGGTGTTCCCAAGGTGTCCCCAGGGTGTCCCCAATGTGTCCCCAAGGTGTCCCCAGGGTGTCCCCAAGGTGTCCCCAAGGTGTCCCCAAGGTGTCCCCAAGGTGTCCCCAATGTCCCCAGGGTGTCCCCAAGGTGTCCCCAGGGTGTTCCCAAGGTGTCCCCAGGGTGTCCCCAAGGTGTTCCCAGGGTGTCCCCGCAGTGTCCCCAAGGTGTCCCCAAGGTGTCCCCAGGATGCCCCCAGGGGTGTCCCCGGTGTCCCCAAGGTGTCCCCAATGTCCCCAAGGTGTCCCCAGGGTGTTCCCAAGGTGTCCCCAAGGTGTCCCCAGGGTGTCCCCAGGGTGTCCCCAATGTCCCCAAGGTGTCCCCAGGGTGTCCCCAAGGTGTCCCCGGTGTCCCCAAGGTGTCCCCAGGGTGTCCCCAAGGTGTCCCCAGGGTGTCCCCAATGTCCCCAAGGTGTCCCCAGGGTGTCCCCAAGGTGTCCCCAGGGTCCCCAGTGTTCCCAGGGTGTCCCCAGGGTGTCCCCAGTGTCCCCAGGGTGTCCCCAAGGTGTCCCTGAGGTGTCCCCAGGGTGTCCCCGGTATCCCCAGGGTGTCCCCAAGCTGTCCCCAGGGTGTCCCCGAGGTGTCCCCAAGGTGTCCCCAGGGTGTCCCCAATGTCCCCAAGGTGTCCCCAGGGTGTCCCCAAGGTGTCCCCAGGGTGTCCCCGAGGTGTCCCCAAGGTGTCCCCAGAGTGTCCCCAAGGTGTCCCCAATGTCCCCAAGGTGTCCCCAGGGTGTCCCCAGGGTGTCCCCAAGGTGTCCCCAAGGTATCCCCAGGGTGTCCCCAGGGTGTCCCCAAGGTGTCCCCAATGTCCCCAAGGTGTCCCCAGGGTGTCCCCAGGGTCCCCAGTGTCCCCAAGGTGTCCCCAAGGTGTCCCCAAGGTGTCCCCAGGGTGTCCCCAGGGTGTCCCCACCTGTCTGGCGGCGAGGGCGCAGCCCAGGCTGGTGACACAGAGCAGGGCGTGTGCCAAGGCCACCCCGGTGTCCCCCATGGCTCCAGGGGGACCTGCGGGGACAGCGCGAGGTCACGGGGTCCCCTCCCCCCCCACACTGACACCACCCTCAGTGTCCCCAAGGTGTCCCCAAGGTGTCCCCAACCCCCCACAGTGTCCCCAAGGTGTCCCCAAGCCCCCTCAGTGTCCCCAAGGTGTCCCCAAGCCCTCTCAGTGTCCCCTCCATGTCCCCAAGGTGTCCCCAAGCCCTCTCAGTGTCCCCTCCATGGCCCCAAGGTGTCCCCAAGCCCTCCCTGGTGTCCCCTCCATGTCCCCAAGGTGTCCCCAAGCCCCCCAGCTGTCCCCTCCATGTCCCCAAGGTGTCCCCCTGTCCCCTCCCCTGTCCCCAAGCCCCCCCAATGTCCCCGTGTCCCTCCCAGGTGTCCCACCCCTGTCCCGGTGTCCCCAAATCCTCCAGGTGTCCCCAAGCCCCCCCTGTGTCGCCCCTGTCCCAGTGTCCCCCTCTGTCCCCAATGTCCCCAAGCCTCCCCAGGTGTCCCCATGTCCCCCAGGTGTCCCTGTCCCCCCCCCGCGCTGTCCCCAAGCCCTCCCAGTGTCCCCTCCCCTGTCCCCCCGTGTCCCCTCCCCTGTCCCAGTGTCCCCCCCCGCTGTCCCCATGTCCCTCTGTCCCCGTGTCCCGCTCTTGTCCGGATGTCCCCAAGCCCCCCCCATGTCCCCCTGTCCCTGTGTCACCCCTGTCCCAGTGTCCCCAAGCCCCCCCAGTGTCCCCAAGTCCCCCCAGTGTCCCCCTGTCCTGCTGTCCCCAAGCCCCCCCAGTGTCCCCCTGTCCTGATGTCCCCCTGTCCCAGTGTCCCCAGGACCCCCAGATGTCCCCAAGCCCCCCCCGTGTCCCCCTGTGCCCCCCCTGTCCCAGTGTCCCCAATGTCCCCAATGTCCCCAAGTGTCCCCAAGCCCCCCACAAGATGTCCCCAAGGCCCCCCTGTCCCCGTGTCCCTTCCCTTGTCCCGGTGTCCCCCTGTCCCGCCCCTGTCCCGCTGTCCCTCCAGATGTCCCCAAGCCCCCCCAGATGTCCCCCTGTCCCCTCCCCTGTCCCACTGTCCCCGGTGTCCCCAACCCCCTCAATGTCCCCAAACCCCCCGTGTCCCCCTTGTCCCCTCCTGTCCCCCTGTCCCCGTGTCCCCCGGCCATTGTCCCCAATCCCACCTTGTCCCATCTGTCCCCTCCCCTATCCCGGTGTCCCCTCCTGTCCCCCGGTCCCCTCCCCTGTCCCGATGTCCCGACCCCCTCCTGCCGTCCCCAACCCCCCCAGATGACCCCGTGTCCCCACCCCTGCCCCGGTGTCCCCCATGTCCCCCAGATGTCCCCAATCCCCCCCTGTCCCCCCCTGTCCCCCCTGTCCCGGTGTCCCCCAGATGTCCCCAATCCCCCCCTGTCCCGATGTCCTCGTGTCCCCCAAATGTCCCCAATCCCCCCTTGTCCTCTCTGTCCCCCCTGTCCCGGTGTCCCCCAAATGTCCCCAATCCCCTCCTGTCCCGGTGTCCCCATGTCTCCCAGATGTCCCCCAGATGTCCCCAACTCCCCCCCCGTGTCCCCCCTGTCCCGGTGTCCCCCAAATATCCCCAATCCCCCCTTGTCCTCTCTGTCCCCCCTGTCCCGGTGTCCCCCAGATGTCCCCAATCCCCCCAATCCCCTCCTGTCCCGGTGTCCCCATGTCTCCCAGATGTCCCCCAGATGTCCCCAATCCCCCCCTGTCCCCCTGTCCCGGTGTCCCCGTGTCCCCACCCCTGTCCCGGTGTCCCCCAGGTGTCCCCAATCCCCCCCGTGTCCCCACCCCTGTCCCGGTGTCCCCCAGATGTCCCCAATCCCCCCCTGTCCCCCCCTGTCCCCCCTGTCCCCCGCTCTGTCCCCGGGTCCCCCCCCGGTACCGCCACTTCCGGCAGCGGCCGTGAGCCCGGAGCGCGCGCGGGGCCGGGGGCGTGGCCGAGCGCGCTGATTGGCTGAGAGCCCTACGGGGGCGCGACCGAGCGCGCTGATTGGGTGAGAGCCCTACAGGGGCGTAGCCAATTTCTGATTGGCTGAGAGATCTGCTGGGCGGGGCTGACGAGCCATATACGGGCATCGAGCCGCGGTGGGCGGGGCTATGGGCGGTGGGAACATTGTGTGGGCGTGGCTTGGTGTGGGCGTGGCTAATTAGGGCAGAGAGGGCTGGAATTGGCTGGGTTATGGGTGGGCGGGGCTAATTAGGGCAGAGAAGGCTGGGATTGGCTGGGATATGGTGGGCGGGGCTAATTAGGGCAGAGAGGGCTGGGGATTGGCTGGGTTATGGGTGGGCGTGGCTAATTAGGGCAGAGAGGGCTGGGGATTGGCTGGGTTATGGGTGGGCGTGGCTAATTAGGGCAGAGAGGGCTGGGATTGGCTGGGATATGGGTGGGTGGGGCTAATTAGGGCAGAGAGGGCTGGGGATTGGCTGGGTTATGGGTGGGCGTGGCTAATTAGGGCAGAGAGGGCTGGAATTGGCTGGGTTATGGGTGGGCGTGGCTAATTAGGGCAGAGAGGGCTGGGGATTGGCTGGGTTATGGGTGGGCGGGGCTAATTAGGGCAGAGAGGGCTTGGGATTGGCTGGGTTATGGGTGGGCGTGGCTAATTAGGGCAGAGAGGGCTGGGATTGGCTGGGTTACGGGTGGGCGTGGCTATTAGGGCAGAGAGGGCTGGGGATGGGATAGTGGGTGTAGATTGATGTGGGCGGGGCTAATTAGGGTAATTAGACCTGGGCGATGGAATTGTGGGCGTGGTTATGAGTGGGAGGGGCTAATTAGGGTAATTAGGGCTCAGGGTGGGATACCAGGTGTAGATTGATGTGGGATTTTGGGTGCTGAGAGCTGGAATTTGGGGATGTTGGATTTCGGGATGTTTGAATTTAGGGATTTGGGATGTTGGGAATTTGGGATTTGGGGATTTTGGGGTTTGGGATGTTGGGATTTTGGGATGTTGAGCGCTGGAATTTTGGGATGTTGGATTTTGGGATGTTTGAATTTTGGGATGTTGGGTGTTGAGTGCTGGAATTTTGGGATGTGGGATTTTGGGATTTTGGGGTCTTGGGATTTTGAATTTTGGGGTTTGGGATGTTGGGATTTGGGGATTTTGGGATGTTGGGTCCTGGAATTCTGGGATGTTGGGATTTTGGGACGTTGGGAATGTTGGATTTGGGGATTGTGGGATTTTGAGCGCTGGAATTTTGGGATGTTGGATTTTGGGATTTTGGGATTTTGGGTTGTGGGACATTTGAATTTTGGGGTTTGGGGTGTTGGGATTTTGGGATTTTGGGATTTTGGGGTGTTGGGATTTTGGAATTTGGGATGTTGGGTGCTGGAATTTTGGGATGTTGGGATTTTTGGATGTTGGGGATGTTGGATTTGGAATGTTGGATTTTGGGATGTTGAGATTTTGGGATGTTGAGTGCTGGAATTTTGGGACTGCTGGATTTTGGGATTTGGGATTTTGGGGTTTGGGATGTTGAGTGCTGGAATTTTGGGATTGTGGGGTTTTGGGGATGTTGAGTGCTGGAATTCTGGGATGTTGGGATTTTTGGATGTTGGAAATGTTGGATTTTGGGATTTTGAGATTTGGGGATTTTGGGATGTTGAGTGCTGGAATTCTGGGGTGTTGGATTTGGGGATTTTGGGGTGTCGGGTTGTGTTTGAATTTTGGGGTTTGGGATTTTGGGGTTTTGGGATTTGGGGTGCTGAGTGCTGGATTGGGATTTTTGGATGTTGGGATTTTTGGGTGTTGGGGATGTTGGATTTTGAGATTTTGGGATTTGGGGATTTTGGGATGTTGAGCACTGGAATTTTGGGGTGTTGGGATTTTGGGGTGTTGGGTTGTGTTTGGATTTTGGGATTTGGGATGTTGGGATTTTGGGGTTTGGGATTTGGAATTTTGGGGTTTGGGATGCTGAGTGCTGGAATTTTGGGATGTTGGGATTTTTGGATGTTGGGGATGTTGGATTTGGAATGTTGGATTTTGGGATTTTGGGATTTTGGGATTTTGGGATTTTGGGATGCTGAGCGCTGGAATTTTGGGATGCTGGGATCTTTGGATGTTGGGGATGTTGGATTTTGGGATGTTGGGATTTGGGATTTTGGGATTTGGGGATTTTGGGATGCTGAGCGCTGGAATTTTGGGATGTTGGAGTTTGGGATTTTGGGGTGTTGCGATTTTGGGGTTGGGATGTTGAGTGCTGGAATTTTGGGATGTTGGGATTTTTGGATGTTGGCGATGTTGGATTTTGAGATTTTGGGATTTTGGGATTTGTGATGCTGAGTGCTGGAATTTTGGGGATGTTGGGATTTTTGGATGTTGGGGATGTTGGATTTGGAATGTTGGATTTTGGGATTTTGAGATTTTGGGATGTTGACATTTTGGGATTTTGTGACGTTTGAATTTTGGGGTTTGGGATGTTGGGATTTTGGGATTTGGGATTTTGGGGTTTGGGATGTTGGGATGTTGGGGTGTTGAGTGCTGGAATTCTGGGATGTTGGATTTGTGTTTGAATTTTGGGATGCTGGGATGCTGGGATTTTGGGATGTTGGGAATGTTGGGATTTTGGGATTTTGGGATTTGGGATGTTGAGTGCTGGAATTTTGGGATTGTGGGGTTTTGGGGATGTTGAGTGCTGGAATTTTGGGATGTTGGGATTTTTGGGTGTTGGGGATGTTGGATTTTGGGATTTTGAGATTTTGGGATTTTGGGATGTTGAGTGCTGGAATTTTGGGATTGTGGGGTTTTGGGATTTTGGGATTGTGGGGTTTTGTGATGCTGAGTGCTGGAATTCTGGGATGTTGGGATTTTTGGATGTTGGGGATGTTGGATTTGGAATGTTGGATTTTGGGATTTTGAGATTTTGGGATTTTGGGATTTTGGGGTTTGGGATGTTGAGTGCTGGAATTTTGGGATGTTGGATTTGGGGATTTTGGGGTGTTTGAATTTTGGGATGTTGGGATGTTGGGATTTTGGGGTTTGGGATTTTGGGATTTGGGATTTTGGGATTTGGGATGTTGAGTGCTGGAATTTTGAGATGTTGGATTTTTGGATGTTGGGGATGTTGGATTTGGAATGTTGGATTTTGGGATGTTGAGATTTGCGGATTTTGGGATTTTGAGATTTTGGGATTTGGAGATTTTGGGATTTGGGGATTTTGGGATGTTGAGCGCTGGAATTTTGGGACTGTTGGATTTTGGGTTTTGGGCTTGTTGGATGTTGGGATTTGGGGACTTTGGGGATTTGGGGATTCGGGGATTTGGGGATTTGGGGATTTTGGGACACTGGGATTTCAGGATACGCTGAGATTTTGGAATGCTGGGATTTGGGGTTTCAGGATTTGGGGATTTCAGGATTTAGGGATTTGGGATTTCAGAATTTGGGGATTCTGGGACTTTGGGATTTGGAGATTTGGGGACTTGGAGATTTGGAGATTTCAGGATTTAGGGATTTGGAGATTTGGGGATTTGGAGATTTGGGGATTTTGGGACCCTGGGATTTCAGGATGCTCTTGGATTTGGGGATGCTGGGATTTGGGACTTTGGAGATTTGGGGTTTCGGGATTTGGGATTTCAGGATTTGGAGATTTGGGATTACAGAATTTGGGCATTTTGGGACTTTGGGATTTGGATATTTGGGGATTTGGGGATTTGGGGATTTGGGGACACTGGGATTTCAGGATACTCTTGAATTTGGGGATGCTGGGATTTGGGATTTGGAAAATTTGGAATTTCAGGATTCGGGGATTTCAGGATTTGGGGATTTGGGATTTCAGGATTTGGGGATTTTGGGACTTTGGGAATTGGAGATTTGGGGATTTTGGGACGCTGGGATTTCAGGATACTCTTAAATTTGGGGAATTGGGATTTGGAGATTTGGGGATTTTGGGACTTTGGGATTTGGGGACTTGGAGATTTGGGCATTTCAGGACCCTGGGATTTCAGGATCCTCTTGAATTTGGGGATGCTGGGATTTGGGACTTTGGGATTTGGGATTTCAGGATTTGGGGATTTGGGGACTTTGGGATTTGGAGATTTGGGGATTGTGGGACACTGGAATTTCAGGATACGCTGGAATTTTGGAATGTTGGGATTTGGAGTTTCGGGATTTGGGATTTCAGAATTTGGGGATTTTTGGACTTGGGGATTTGGAGATTTGGGGATTTTGGGACACTGGATTTCAGGATACGCTGGGATTTGGGGTTTTGGGATTGGGGATTTCAGGACTTGGGGATTTCAGGACTTGGGGATTTGGAGATTTGGGGATTTGGGATTTGGAGATTTTGGGACCCTGGGATTTCAGGATATTCTTGAATTTGGGGATGCTGGGATTTGGAAGATTTGGGGTTTCGGGATTTGGGATTTCAGGATTTGGGGACTTTGGGACTTTGGGATTTGGAGATTTGGGGATTTCAGGATCCTGGGATTTCAAGATACTCTTGGATTTGGGGATGCTGGGATTTGGGGATTAGGGATTTGGAGATTTGGGGATTTCAGAATTTCGGGATTTAGGGATTTGGGATTTGGGGATTTGGGGATTTTGGGACTTTGGGATTTGGAGATTTGGGCATTTCAGGACCCTGGGATTTCAGGATATTCTTGAATTTGGGGATGCTGGGATTTGGGACTTTGGAGATTTGGGGTTTCGGGACTTTGGGATTTCAGGATTCGGGGATTTCAGGATTTAGGGATTTGGGATTTCAGGATTTGGGGATTTTGGGACTTTGCGATTTGAAGATTTGGGAACTTTGGGATTTGGGGACTTGGGATTTCAGGATTTTGGGATCTCAGGATTTGGATATTTGGGGATTTGGGGATTTTGGGACACTGGGATTTCAGGATTCGCTGAGATTTTGGAATGCTGGGATTTGGGATTTCAGGATTTAGGGATTTGGGATTTCAGGATTTGGGGATTTGGGATTTGGAGATTTGGGGATTTTGGGACTTTGGGATTTCAGGATTTAGGGATTTGGGGATTTGGAGATTTGGGGATTTGGGGATTTCAAGACACTGGGATTTCAGGATACTCTTGAATTTGGGGATGCTGGGATTTGGAAGATTTGGGGTTTCGGGATTTGGGATTTCAGGATTTGGGGACTTTGGGACTTTGGGATTTGGAGATTTGGGGATTTCAGGATCCTGGGATTTCAGGATATTCTTGGATTTGGAGATTTGGGATTTCAGGATTTGGGGATTTCGGGACTTGGGGATTTGGAGATTTGGGCATTTCAGGACCCTGGGATTTCAGGATACTCTTGAATTTGGGGATGCTGGGATTTGGGATTTGGAAAATTTGGAATTTCAGAATTTGGGGATTTCAGGATTTGGGGATTTGGGATTTCAGAATTTGGGGATTTGGGGACACTGCGATTTCAGGATACTCTTGAATTTGGGGATGCTGGGATTTGGAAGATTTGGAGTTTCGGGATTTGGGATTTCAGGATTTGGGGATTTCAGGATTTGGGATTTCAGGATTTGGGGATTTTGGGACTTTGGGGATTTGGGATTTGGAGATTTTGGGACACTGGGATTTCAGGATATTCTTGAATTTGGGGATGCTGGAATTTGGAAGATTTGGGGTTTCGGGATTTGGGGATTTTGGGATTTAGGGATTTGGGATTTCAGGATTTCGGGATTTTGGGATTTTGGGATTTGGAGATTTGGGAATTTCAGGATTTAGGGATTTGGAGATTCGGGGATTTGGGATTTCAGGATTTGGGATTTGGAGATTTGGGGTTTTGGGATTTGGGATTTCAGGATTTCAGGATTTTGGGACTTTGAGATTTGGATATTTGCGGATTTGGGGATTTGGGGACACTGGGATTTCAGGATATGCTGGGATTTGGGGTTTCGGGATTTGGGGTTTCGGGATTTGGGGTTTTGGGATTTCAGGATTTAGAGATTTGGAGATTTGGGATTTCCGGATTTGGGATTTCAGGATTTGGGGATTTTGGGACTTTGGGATTTCAGACTTTGGGCATTTCATGATCCTGCGATTTCAGGATCCTCTTGGATTTGGGAACTTTGGCATTCCAGGATTTGGGCTTTACCCCCAGGCTGCCCCCGCCGCTGCTCCACACCCAACACCCGCCGGAATTCTCCCCCCCTCCAAATTCCCCAAAATTCCCCAAAACTCCCCCAAAAATCCCCCCAAAATCCCCCCAAAACTCCCCCAAAATCCCCCCAAAATCCACCACCCCCCCCCCGTGGATGCCACCACCGCCGGTCACTGTCCTTTATTTGGGGACACGGGAGGGGCGGGGGACCTGCCCCGCCATTCCCAAAAAACGGAAAAAGGCGCCCGGGGGACACGGGAGGGGACAGGGAGGGGACAGGGAGGGGACAAAGGGAGGGGACAAAGGGGGCGTGGCCACCGCCCCCCCCCCGGTTAAGAGAATTCCTGGACGAATTTGGTGTAGAAGGAGCTGAGCTTGTCCAGAAGGATCCGCAGCTTCTCCGGGGGCGGCAGGATCGTCATCCTGGGCAGGAGGGGGGGATGATGGAAAAAAATGGAAATTTGGGGAAAATTTGGGGAAATTTGGGGAAATTCGGGAGAAATTTGGGGAAATTTGGTGAAAATTTGGGGAAAATTTGGGGAAATTTGGGGAAATTTCAGAAAATTCGGGGAAAATTGGGGGAAATTTGGGAAAATTCGGGGAAATTTGGGGAAATTTGGGGAAGTTTCAGAAAATTTGGGGAAAATTTGGGGAAAATTTGGGAAAAATCTGGGAAAAATTCGAAAAATTTGGGAAAATTTGCGGAAATTTGGGGAAATTCGGGGAAATTTGGGAAAATTTGGGGAAATTTCGGGAAATTCGGGAAAATTTGGGGAAATTCGGGGAAAATTTGGCAAAATTCGGGGGAAATTTGGGGAAAATTTGGAGAAATTTGGGAAAATTCGGGAAAAATTTGGGAAAATTTCGGGAAATTCGGGGAAATTTGGGGAAATTTGGCGAAAATTTGGGGAAAAATTTGGGGGAAATTTGGGGAAAATTTAGGGAAATTTGGGGAAATTTGGCGAAAATTTGGGGAAATTTGCGGGAAAATTTGGGAAAACTTGGGAAAATTTGGGGAAAATTTGGGGAAATTTTGGAAAATTTGGGGAAATTTCAGAAAATGTGGGGAAATTTGGGAAAACTTGGGAAAATTTGGGGGAAATTTGGGAAAATTTGGGGAAATTTGGCAAAAATTTGGGAAAATTCGCGGAAAATTTGGGAAAATTTGGAGAAATTTGGGGAAAATTTGGGAAAACTTGGGGAAATTTGGGAAAATTTGGGAAAAATTTGGGGAAAATTCGGGAAAATTTGGGGAAATTTGGGAAAATTTGGGGGAAACGATTCACAAAATTCCCGCCCTCGAAAATTCCGTCGGGAGGCAAAAAAAATAATTAAAAAAATTCCCAAAACAAAAATTCAATTTTTTTTCCCGCCCCCGGTTTTGCGCAGGAATCGGCAAAAGTTGGGGCCGAGGGAAAGGGCGGGGATTTGGGGATTTGGGGATTTAAAAATTTGGGGATTTAAAAATTTGGGGTTTTGGGGATGGGGGATTTGGGGATTTGGGAATTTGGAAATTTAATAATTTGGGGATTTGGGATGGGGGATTTGGGAATTTGGGGATTTGGGGATTTGGAAATTTAAAAATTTGGGGATTTGGGATGGGGGATTTGGGGATTTGGGAATTTGGGAATTTAAAAATTTGGGGATTTGGGAATTGGGAAATTTAAAAATTTGGGGATTTGGGGATTTGGGGATTTGGGATGGGAGATTTGGGGATTTGGGAATTTAAAAATTTGGGGATTTGGGATGGGAGATTTGGGGATTTGGGAATTTGGGGATTTGGGAATTTGGGGATTTGGGAATTTGGAAATTTTAAAATTTGGGGATTTGGGATGGGGGGTTTGGGATGGGGGATTTGGGGATGGGAAATTTAAAAATTTGGGGATTTGGGATGGGAGATTTGGGGATTTGGGAATTGGGAAATTTAAAAATTTAGGGATTTGGGAATTTAAAAATTTGGGGATTTGGGGATGGGGGATTTGGGGATTTGGGAATTTGGAAATTTAATAATTTGGGGATTTGGGGATTTGGGATGGGAGATTTGGGGATTTGGGAATTTGGAAATTTAAAAATTTGGGGATTTGGGAATTGGGAAATTTAAAAATTTGGGGATTTGGGATGGGGGATTTGGGGATTTGGAAATTGGAAATTTAAAAATTTGGAGATTTGGGGGATTTGGGATTTTTGGGGTGGGAGGATTTGGGGATTTGGGGATTTGGAGATTTGAGGGTTTGGGGTATGGGGATTTGGGGTGGGAGGGTTTGGGAATTAGGGGATTTGGGGATTTGGGATGGGGGATTTGGGGATTTGGAAATTTAAAAATTTGGGGATTTGGGATGGGGGGATTTGGGGAATTGGGAAATCTAAAAATTTGGGGATTTGGGATGGGGGATTTGGAAATCGGGAAATTTAAAAATTTGGGGGATTTGGGGATTTGGGATGGGAGAATTTGGGGATTTGGGGATTTGGAAATTTAAAAATTTGGGGATTTGGGATGAGAGGATTTGGGGATTTGGGATTTTGGGATGGGGGGATTTGGGGATTTGGAAATTTAAAAATTTGGGGATTTGGGGATTTGGAAATTTAAAAATTTGGGGATTTGGGGATTTGGGATGGGAGGATTTGGGGATTTGGGATTTTGGGATGGGGGATTTGGGAATTTGGAAATTTAAAAATTTGGGGATTTGGGATGGGGGGATTTGGGAATTTGGGATTTCGGGGTGGGGGGATTTGGGATGGGGGAACAGGGAATTTGGGATGGGGGATTTGGGGATTTGGGGATGGGGGATTTGGGAATTTGGAAATTTAAAAATTTGGGGATTTGGGATGGGGGATTTGGGGATTTGGGAAGGGAGGATTTGGGGATTTGGAGGTTTGAGGATTTGGGGTAGGGGGATTTGGGATGGCAGGGTTTGGGAATTAGGGGATTTGGGGATTTGGGGATTTGGGAATTTGGGGTGGGGCAATTTGGGAATTGGGAAATTTAAAAATTTGGGGATTTGGGATGGGGGATTTGGGGATTTGGGGATTTGGGGATTTGGGATGGGAGATTTGGGGATTTGGGAATTTGGAAATTTAAAAATTTGGGGATTTGGGATGGGGGATTTGGGGATTTGGGGATTTGGGGATTTGGGATGGGAGATTTGGGGATTTGGGAATTTGGAAATTTAAAAATTTGGGGATTTGGGAATTTGAGAATTTAAAAATTTGGGGATTTGGGATGGGGGATTTGGGGGTTTTGGGGTGGGAGAATTTGGGTATTTGGAGATTTGGAAATTTAAAAATTTGGGGATTTGGGATGGGAGATTTGGGGATTTGGGAATTTGGAAATTTAAAAATTTGGGGATTTGGGAATTTGGAAATTTAAAAATTTGGGGATTTGGGATGGGGGATTTGGGGATTTGGGATTTTGAGATGGGGGGATTTGGGAATTTGGAAATTTAAAAATTTGGGGATTTGGGATGGGGGATTTGGGATGGGGGATTTGGGGATTTGGGAATTGGGAAATTAAAAAATTTGGGGATTTGGGATGGGGGATTTGGGGATTTGGAAATTGGAAATTTAAAAATTTGGAGATTTGGGGGATTTGGGGGTTTGGGGTGGGAGGTTTTGGGGATTTGGAGATTTGAGGATTTGGGGTGTGGGGATTTGGGGATTTGGGGATTTGGGAATTTGGGGTGGGGCAATTTGGGAATTGGGAAATTGAAAAATTTGGGGATTTGGGGTGGGGGATTTGGGGATTTGGAAATTTAAAAATTTGGGGATTTGAGATGGGGGATTTGGGAATTTGGGATTTGGGGATTTGGGAATTTGAAAATTTAAAAATTTGGGGATTTGGGAATTTGGGGATTTGGGAATTTGGAAATTTAAAAATTTGGGGATTTGGGATGGGGGAACAGGGAATTTGGATGGGGTGATTTGGGAATTTGGAAATTTAAAAATTTGGGGATTTGGGATGGGAGATTTGGGGATTTGGGAATTTGGAAATTTAATAATTTGGGGATTTGGGGATTTGGGATGGGAGATTTGGGGATTTTGGAATTTGGAAATTTAAAAATTTAGGGATTTGGGGATTTGGGGATGGGGGATTTGGGGATTTGGGAATTTGGAAATTTAATAATTTGGGGATTTGGGAATTTGAGAATTTAAAAATTTGGGGATTGGGAATTGGGGGATTTGGGGGTTTGGGGTGGGAGGATTTGGGGATTTGGAAATTTAATAATCTGGGGATTTGGGGATTTGGAAATTTAAAATTTGGGGATTTGGGATGGGGGGATTTGGGGATTTGGGAATTTAAAAATTTGGGGATTTGGGGATTTGGAAATTTAAAAATTTGGGGATTTGGGATGGGGGAACAGGGAATTTGGATGGGGGGATTTGGGGATTTGGAAATTTTAAAATTTGGGGATTTGGAATGGGGGGGTGCGGCAATTTGGAAATTTTAAAATTTGGGGATTTGGGGATTTGGGATGGGGGGATTTGGGAATTTGGAAATTTAAAAATTTGGGGATTTGGGGATTTGGAAATTTAAAAATTTAGGGATTTGGGATGGGAGATTTGGGGATTTGGGAATTTGGAAATTTAAAAATTTGGGGATTTGGGATGGGGGATTTGGAAATCGGGAAATTTAAAAATTTGGGGATTTGGGGATTTGGGATGGGAGAATTTGGGTATTTGGAGATTTGGAAATTTAAAAATTTGGGGATTTGGGATGGGGGATTTGGGAATTTGGAAATTTAAAAATTTGGGGATTTGGGATGGGGGATTTGGGGATTTGGAGATTTGAGGATTTGGGGTATGGGGATTTGGGGTGGGAGGGTTTGGGAATTAGGGGATTTGGGGATTTGGGGATTTGGGAATTTGGGGTGGGGCAATTTGGGAATTGGGAAATTGAAAAATTTGGGGATTTGGGGTGGGAGGATTTGGGATTTTGGGGTGGGAGGATCTGGGGATTTGGGGATTTGGAGATTTGAGGATTTGGGATTTGGGGATTTGGGGGTTTGGGATTTTGGGGTGGGGGGATTTGGGATGGGGGAACAGGAAATTTGGGATGGGGATTTGGGGATTTGGGATGGGGATTTGGGGATTTGGGATGGGGGAACCGGGAATTTGGGATGGGGGGATTTGGGGATTTGGGGTGGGAGGATTTGGGGATTTGGGGATTTGGGAACTTGGGACGGGAGGATTTGGGGATTTGGGACGGGAGGATTTGGGGATTTGGGGTGAAGGAACAAGGAATTTGGGATTTGGGGATTTGGGGTGGGGGAATTTGGGGATTTGGGAATTTGGGATGGGGGAATTTGGGGATTTGGGGTGGGGGGGATTTGGGATGGGGGATTTGGGGTGTGGGAACAGGGAATTTGGGACGGGGGGATTTAGGGATTTGGGACTTTGGGGATTTGAGGATTTGGGGTGTGGGAACA